ATTTTTAAAATTTATTGTATTAAACCAAAAACAGTCCACGTCAATAATTAGGTTGTACAATGATAGAACAGGTAATTAAATGGTCAAGCAACTATGTGCATCTCAGTCTACTAGCAAAATGCCCGTGCTTCGCTACGGGTATAATGAAAGTTAAATGCTATAAATACACAGTTAACATATATGTAATAATGTTCCAAGATAGATAAATTGTTTAATGTATTGTTAATGATAACCAGGACTGATAAGAAATAACTATTGCATATTTATATATTCATATTGTCATAACACACGCTCTCAACTCTTGCATGGCAAGCGTCTGATATAATTTCTAAAATCAAACACGGACTCGCGTGGAGACAGATCGTTTCACGGCTCATGCATGGACGATAGATGGTGCGGACTCCAATATGTCGTGTTTTGCAGATGACGAAAAGAAAAAAAATAATTATGTTTAATTTTCAAATTAAAAACTGGTTCATTAATTATGTTTAATTTTAGAATTAAAAACTGGTTCATTATAAGATTTCAAATTCACTAAAAATCAGTTGAAGAAAGAGGTGCAAAATTTTTGATTTTTCAACCATCGGATGTGCATGGTCCGTGCTAGTGGCACTTAATATCTGTTGAAGAAAGATGTGCAAAACTTTTTTGATTTTTTAACCATCGGATGTGCATGGTCTGTGCTAGTGGCGGAGAGAGAAAATAAATATATGTTGAAGAAAGAGGTGCAGAACTTTTTTGATTTTTTAACCATCGGACGTGTATGATCCGTGCGAGTGGCGGAGAGAAAAAAATACGCACAAATAGGATTTGAGACGTGGGATGCAAAGTAGACTTATTCTGAGTAATAATAAGTGCAAAAGTTTTTGATAGGGTAATCTGGCCTAGGAGAGGCAAAACTTTTTTGATTTTTTAACCATGGGATATGCATGGTCCGTGCTAGTGGCGGAGAGAAAAAGATTGCGTGTAAATAGGATTTGAGATGTGGGACGCAAAGTAGACTTATTCTGAGTGGGTAATCTGGCTAGGAGAGGCAAAACTTTTTTGATTTTTTAACCATCGGATGTGCATGGTCCGTGCTAGTGGTGGAGAGAAAAATTGAGCGAAAATAGGATTTGAGATGTGGGACGTAAAGTAGACTTAGGCCCTTTTTGTTTAGGCTTAGGCTTATTGGTCTAGACTTTTAAGTCAGCTTATTGGCTTATATGATTTATAAGCCAGTGGATTTAATGTCCTAAGTTTAGTGGTGGAGTCATACATCTATCTCATATAAGCCAAAAAAGCTTCTCCAACCTAGCTTTTGGCTTAATAGTGTTAGAGTGGCTTATGGCTTCAAAAAAGCCAAATGAAAAAGCTGCTTGTTTGTTTTGGCTTAGACTTTTCGACTTATAAGTTGACTTATAAGTCTAAACAAAGAGGGCCTTATTCTGAGTAATAATAAGTGCAAAAGTTTTTGATAGGGTAATTTGGCCTAGGAGAGGCTCACAGAGCGTGCAAATAATAATAGTGGCTTAGGAGAGGCAAAACTTTTTTGATTTTTTAACCATCACAGATTTCCTTTCCTAACCATGTCGGCAAGCTGCTACTTTTACTTGGAGGTTATATGAAAGAACACATATTCTATATCAGCCGCGATTTTTTTAGTAGATTGGAAAATGTCCGATCGGACTATTAAGCGGATTAAAATAGATTTTAGTAACGAGATCAGGATGACGGACGAAAAAATATGCGGAAACCTTATGTATTTTTTTATTAGGTATAGATATAGATATAGATATAGATATAGTGAGTCTATAGTCCATAACCTTCAAAAGTTCAGGAAAGTTTGCATGCTAAAATATACAAGGGCCTGACTGATCAACTGTAAGCCGGTCGTTCTTCCTTACATCTGGTAACTCTTCAGGGATTCAGATTTCAGGGTAACTCATAACTCAAAACTACTAGTACTGACCTAGACCTCTTTATCTGTTCAAAATCAACAATTAAGTACTAAAAGCATACTTTGTGCATAATCAATCAACACCTGCCAAATAAAAAAAAGACAAAAGGGAAAATATCCAATAGCAGCCGTTGAAGCTTCTGAAAGCTAGCTGGCTAATCTGTTCATGGACAGGTTAGTTAGCGACTTAGAAAAAATTAGTACTACATCAGCTTCTGATATTCCTTTTTCCTCTCTTTTTTTCTTCCTTCGTCGATGTAGCTTTCATCGTAGCCCTTTCTTGTGCACTGATCACTCTTCTTTTTCGTCGATCCACACGCCTTCCCCGAGTGGCATGAAATTTGACGCCGCCTGCGAACTCTGACGTCGTTTTCGATGACGAATTAATTTGATAATTTCTGCACCTTTTAATGCTGGTTTAGTGTGTACAGTAAGTGTTAATCTCATTGTGCTGTAGGGATCAGATCGTCTCACTTGGATGATTAGGAGAAAGACGACGAGTAGATGGTGAGAGGTTGTGACTTGTGAAAATTGATACTCCCTCTGGTTCTATATTAACGTTTTGGACAAGGTTGAGATTAAACTTTTATAACTTTAACCATTAATAACTTTAAATATTAAAATATTTAGTTTAAAAAAACTAAAAAAACATATATATATATATATTTGTCTTTTAAAACACTATTATAAAAGTAAACATGTATTTATTTATTGTATATGTTATAATAGAAAAATAAGGTCAAAGATATATATTGTAGAGCGTGTCATTGTTTAAAGCGTCAATCAAAAGTAGGGAGTATTTGTGGATGGAGTCGAGATGAACTCTTCGATGTGTCTGATAATAGTATAAAATCGTGCACATCGAAGATGCCGAAGCACACACGTACCTAGGTCCTTGAGAAGAACATGGACAACAGTTGGGCTATTTGTTTTTTACTTGCCTAGTGTTCCTTTTTTGTTCTTGGAATATTCAGATTTGAGCAGTTGGATTGAATTAGATTCAAAATCTGGTCCCTGTACATTTTTAATTTTAACTTTGGAGTTCTCCTCTCCAATATTAGTATTAATCATGGGGAAACTTCAAGCATCATTGGTTTAAAACAGAATAAGGGTAAAACAGAGCATCACCTTGACAGGATTGTGCTAATTTGATCCTTTGGAATTGTGATGAAAGCACTAATTTCAATTCAAGATGGCCACCAGACTTATGGAATTAAATTCCAATTGAACAATTTTTATGCAGATTCATGTGAGCTGAATTTGGTGTTCAATGTGGGTCTGCACTCTAATGAAGTTCACCTAAAAAAAGTACAAATGCCAAATTAATAACTATATATGACAATGTGATGTCTTTATGTTCTCTCTCTCTCTCTCTCCATCTATCTCTATTCCCTACCTCTCTAGGTATTATGACAACAACATTCACATGGCATCCACCAAACATATACGTAGATATTGACCTTGGTGTCTTAATCATCAATAAAACTATCATAAAGTATCATGTGGAGAGAATATCTCAAGAAAGATGGTTATAATACACCAGCTAGCACTTTGTTATTTTTATAATTGTAACCATCTTTTGGGCTGAACAAAGATGGTGATTTCTACTTAGAATATGCAAATGGGCAGTCATGTGTGTCTTATAAATTGTTTTTTCTTCAGGCTTCAGCTGACTAACTGGATTGTGTAGTGGGCCCATACATACATATATACATTGCAGTCCATCTTTGCACAATGAGACATGTTCTAGGATTGACTGTAATTGGGCTAGCTATGAACTATATATGAGCTTGAAGGTTAGGCCTGGCAGGCTGACAGCCCAACATGGCTGTGGTTGTCTGCATGATTAGTTCTTATATCTTGTAATGTTAGGAATTCATACCGAAACTCATATCGTAATATTGAAGGAAAAAATAATAAGGCCAAAATATTGTGCAAATTCTCTTAAATTCATGTATCCTTCCTACTTGCCAAAATCACTAGAGCATTGAAACTGAAAATTTCGGGTCTATTGGACACATAAACAAACAAACTATTTCACCTAGATTTTTTTTTTGAAATTTTTGATTCTTTGTGAATTATAAAAAAAAAATCAAACTTGACCAACTTTTGTTTTAAATTTTAAATTATTTGGCCCAAAAATTATTGTAATTTCTGAAATTCCGGTCATATCAGTGCCTACTAATAGATTAAACCCTAGTATAAAGTTCTTTTTAAAACAATGGGAAAAAGGCCGTATGCCTATCTAATGCATTTACAACTCAATCTTTTTGAAGGTGACTGAATCTTCCAGCAATAAAAGGTGATGTCTTCTTAAAGATCCACAAGTAAAGAGATTTTGACAAGTAATGCATACTTCATGCTCAATCGTGGATGTGAATGCATATCATAAACATGCATCAAATGCAACAAGATTGACCAGGGTTCGCGAAATAAAGCAATAAGATTGATCACAACCTCATCTCACTGAGAACAAGGCCAAGGCATATCAAACACATCATCGGCAATCTTTTCAAATCTTATTCTTTACCATCCATATAACATGAATGGGGGTGTAATGCATGTACTAACCAAGCAAACCATCAAAAAAAAAACCTCAACAAAAATGCATCAACATTCACCATAACCTCATCCCATCGATAACAAGGACGAGGCATATCAAACACATCAATGACAATCTTTTCAAATATCGGCCTTTACCATCCAAATAATATGAATGGGTATAATGCGTGTACTGAACAAGCAAACCATCACAAAAATAAAAGAATCTCAAGCAACTTCGTCGTGAAGTCTAAGATCTACAGAAAACATAATGCCATCATGCATTTGACATCTTATCTACCACAACTCCACAAGGCCATAAATCCACACAAGAGGAACACTACCATTTTTCTCTCAGAGGAGGACAACAAACGAACAAGACATGAAGCCGATGAGTCCAGCAGAGCAGTCTCACTCTATTCCCCCAGTTTGATCTGGCACGTCGGATCAGGATCGGACGGCCGAGAGCCCATCAGTCACCGCCGGAATTAAATCCCAGCGAATCCCAAATCTCCCTCAAAAAAGAAAAAAAAAAGAAGAAAAATCCCCCAAATTCGCCTAACTCCGAATCGAAACCTCTCTTCCCCCTTTCGCCTCCGCGACGCATATGCCTCCGCCTCCGCCTCGTCGCGGCGCCCCCAAACCCTAGCCCGGCGCGGCGAGTCCCCCATCGGCGGCGGGAGCGGCGGGAGTAGGCGGGAAGGCGGGATCTCCTCCGTCCCACATGGCGGCGGCGGCGGCGGTTGCGGGGGCGGGCGGGGTGGGGCACGTGGTGGAGAGGTTCAGGGCGAGGCTGCGGGAGGAGCAGGAGGAGGAGGAGGGGGGAGGCGGGGAGGTGGCGGCGGCGGCGGTGGTGCGGGTGTACGTGGAGGTGCTCTCGGAGCTCACGTTCAACTGCAAGCCCATCATCACCGAGCTCACCATCATCGCCGGGCAGCACGCGGCCCTCGCCGCGAGGGGGATCGCCGACGCCATCTGCGCCCGCATCGCGGAGGTTGCTGTTTTCTCTCTCTCCCCCCTCATCCGGGGGGCTCTTCGCTTGTATGTACATAGCCTAGGTTTTGGGGATGTGTGGGCTTGCGTAGACTACTCGTCCAGTGGATATGCTTGCTTGCTGATTGTTGTGAATGCTAGGGTTTGGTGATGTGCTTCTGCTGAAAATTTTAGATATATACATGTTTTTGAATTTTGGAGCCAGTGTAAAAGTTCGGGTTTGGTGCGCTTTGTAGATGACATTTTGTTCCTAGGGTTTTGTAATCGTTGCATTTGATGTGTGATTTTTGTTGACTTGATGCACATATAGTGAACAATCGGATCAATCCCTGTTTGTAGTGGCTCCGATTGTTGCAAATTTGGTTGCTAGGGTTCAGTAATCAGAGTGAGATTCAACAAGTTTTAAAGTGAAGTGATGGAAACGGAGTGTATGCGATTGGCACCTAGCACCAGTCTGTGATATCTAAGTGATGTATCTATAACTAGAATTGAGTTTCAGATAATCAAGCGTATAGGTGGTAATGGCATTCACAGCCTCCATGCATAGGCTATCTTGTTCCAAATGAAGTTGCTAGGATCTTTGGTTCTGGAAGAAATTTTTTGTCTCTAAAACTGAACCAAAAAAAGGGAAAATAATGGTGATTGGTTGCTCGGAATTTACATGGCTGGGAATTTTTCTAAAATTTTCTTTTAGCTGTTTTTTTGGCACAACATAATTGCTGCTTGAAATGGAATATCAGTAAAACGATTTAGAGTTATTGTTGGACTCTTGGGCAGTATTGTTTTGCTTTGTATTGTCTGTTAATAGTCTATTAGTTATTTAGTTTTGATTTCTTTTCTGAAGAGAACATTAAAACTGCAATTTTAAATGGCAACAATATGGTAACCAATCCTAAGAGAAATGAGTTAATAAACTAAACTAACAGAACACCATGTAGCTTTCTTTACAGATTCTGTTCATCATTTCATAAGAGACTGCTTGATTTAATTTTAATCATATGCATGCTTTCTATTAATTATCTATGAACGAACTGTTCCTTTACATGATTTCTTATTCAATTTTGTTACAGGTGTCTGCCGACCAGAAATTACCATCTTTGTATCTGCTAGACAGTATTGTGAAGAACATAGGACGAGAATATGTAGGGCATTTTGCCGCTAGGTTGCAGAAGGTATTTTGTGATGCCTATAGGAAAGTTCACCGCAATCAGCATGCTGCAATGCGACACCTCTTTGGTACCTGGTCACAAGTGTTCCCTTCCTCTGTGCTACGCGGAATTGAGGATGAGCTTCAGTTTTCCCCCTTAGAGAATAAGCGCTCTGCCACAGCGACTGATATCCGACAGTCAGAGTCGATATCTCCTAGACTGTCTCATGCCATTCATGTAAATCCAAAATATTTAGAAGCACAACAACAATTTAAGCAGTCAACTTCGGTATGTGTTTTTTACTTCTTGTTAATACCAACTTGATTATTTGCTACAGCTAGTTGTTTTGACTATTTGTTGTGTGATTTAAGCATGGTGTCTATTTATTTCATTGCCTAGCTTGAGATATATGTGATGCCTTTCTGTTTCAGATCAATTTTATACATTGGAGTTTGTGCATATATTTTTTAGGTGCATCAACCAATAACTCGTGGAAATCGGCAAATGAATGATGTGGAAGAGGATCAAATAAATGGTTTAACATCTAAAAGTTCGCGAGGATGGCCTGCAACTAATTCAAAGCTCCAGGTACTGGGTCTTTCATCTTCCTTTTTTTTGCTTCTTGTCATTCTTTCACTCTGAATTACCAGCCAGGTTTGAGACCTACTCCCTCCGTCCTAGAAAAAACCAACCTAGGTGGGGATTTGACACCACCTCCTCATGTCCAGATTCATTGTCCTAGATGGTGTCAAATCCCCACCTAAGTTAGCTTTTTTTGGGGCGGAGGGAGTATAAGCCAATACTATACAGATAGATGCTACTGTTGAGTCCTATCTTTTTATAAGTACACAGTAATGAGTTCTGTTTTTTGCGCAACTCATTCTGGTTCTCCTGTGATCACCAGAAAATTAAACTGCATAAATCCTAACACTGAAGACAGTATCTACTAGTTGCAAATCAGATCCTTAATGCATTTGTGCTTTTTTACAACATAGAAGCAGTTCTGTTGTTTTCTTTCTCATATATGTACTGATTACTGACTCATCAATAGGGGCTTTGAAGGTGCTCTCTTTGTAGCTTGACAAAGGAGAACCTCCCTTTTGTTCTGTTTTGGGAGTGGTTATTTGAGATAGCAACAACCATGTGATTTAACACATTTGTAAACCCTGGCTCTGTTTGTAGTCTTCAGTGAGTTCCTATAACTCTTGTGATGACATTTGCATTGTTTGGGACAATGTAAAGCACCTTCGTTGTCTCCAGGTGTAACAAAATCCATCCATCTCAATATTAAATAAGAGAAAATGCTTTTTACAACCCCAAACTTCACTTTCAGAACTCTGCCCTTCTCAAGTCTTAACATTACCCAAATTTAGCCTAGTTTTGGGTGACATGGCGATGTGGCATAAGACTTTAAATATTTTCTAATTTTAAAAATTTGTAAATGACTTCAAAATTCTTCAAAATTATAACTTCTATGGAGTATTTATAACATAGATATATTTCTATATGAGCAAAATATAGTACAATTTGCAGTTTTCCATGCAGAAAATAGTGCTTAAATATGAACAAAACCATATTTTAGGAGATAATTAAACTATATTCCACTCTGAACAAATAGGTTCTAGATGGTCTAATGTACAAATGTTTTTATACTTCAATTACTATTTTGTAAAATTCAAATACGTAACCCAAGGATGAAATTGCATTTGAATTTTTATAATTTTTAAACCACTTCACAAAAAATAATCTGTAAAGATTCTCAGTTGCATATTGGTGTATTGAAACATAAATAAATTATGACTTTATGAGCATAGCAAAATCAAGTTTATTTGATGCACAAAAATGGTTTTATCTAGATTTAAAACTATTTTCTGTGGGGATTATAGTTTATTCAACTCCTATGAACTTTTTGTTGTTGCAAAATACCGTATAGAGCAGTGGCAATTTTTAAGTATTTCTAAGATTTTTATTTTAAAATTTTTGAAATTCGATTTTTTTTCAGCCTTTCCACTTTGCCATGTAATCTTACTCCATGTCTATCAAAAGTCAAATTGTCAAAACCACTTCAAATTTGTGCGAAGAATGAAAAATGTGTGGTTTTGAATGTTCAGGGTTGAATTGTGTGCAGTTATGAAGTTTATGGTTGATTTCTGGACACTAGCATATTGCCTGTGCGTTGCAACAGAATTTTAATTAAAGAAAATTACCATGAACATTTCATTAACGTCTCTTAATTTTTGTATATATATTTTCAATCACATGTAGACCTTTTTTAGTCCCACATTAATCTGTTTTCCTTCCCACAAAAAATATGAGAGTTGGTGGGAGTAGTTGACTTGTGGGCCCTCTAGTGCCACATGTCATCTTTTCTGTAAAAAAAATTGGGAGTTGTATTGGGGGTGGTGGCAGAACCACCACCTGTCTACTCCCTTTTATAAGGAGTGTAGATTATTAAATGGGATTTTTTCCTATGAAGTTTTCCCTGCTCAGTAATTTTTATTTCAATTCAAGTTTTGATATGCTGTTGCTACTTTGTTGTTTTGTTTATCTAAAATGTAACATGTAAGTTTTGTTTATAATCTGTCTTGAAATCATATGGACAGAAGTCTACTATGCTGTATGCTGACGATCTTGATCAACAAGAGGCATTTTGTTCACATACTGGGTTGATAAGGCCAAGTTCGCCACATCTTTTAAGCAAACATCCTTCCATACTCAATACAGAAGGACCATTAGCCAATTCAAGAAGAACCATGTCAAGATCACCACCTCTTGATGTGCTCCCTAGAAATGCATCCCCCAAGAGAGCTCTGGAGAGGCCACCACTATCGCATTCTGTTCTAGGACCTGACCCCAGAAGATTGCCTGATCGAAATGGTTGGTTTGAACGGAAGTGGGCTTTTGAGGATGGTGCACAACGGCCTTCGATGAGCATACTTGATGAAGAATATAGAAAGCAAAGTGCAAGGGAACTTATTGATGCTTATGGAAATTCTCAAGGAAAAGATGTCGATGAAAGGCTTCCCAAGATGCAACGTCTAGATTCAAATGGCATGGCAGGCAGACCTAGTGCACAAAAATGGCTAACTTCGGAGGAAGAAGAGTATACTTGGGAAGATATGAGTCCTACTTTAACTGATCGAAACAGAACCAGCGTGCCCTCTTTACCTCCCCTTGGAACCCTGAGAGCTGGATTTCTTGGGCCAAACAGTGGACTACTGGAATCTGATATTGTGAGGCACAGTTGGCCAGGCCAGGCTCCTCGACCAGCAATTGATGGGCCACCACTAAATCTCGAAGATAGAATTCCTACTAACGGGGTATGCTTGTCTGAACTCTATTAGTTATGATTATTGTTACTCATGTTGAAATGAACTTTGTGTATCTTAGCACTAATAATATTTAGTGAAATAATTTCAATCAATATGCCATCTCTTGCTTTCAGGAGGTGTTTTTTTATTCTTCAAGTCTATTAACTGTTTTTTATAAGAAAAGGCTTCCAATAGATTTTGTGCATATACTTAGTTAATTAAAGCTTAAAAGATTACAATACGGCATTTCATGTTGGGTCTTCCTTGGCTTCACTGTTTATGGTGATTATCTTCCTTAGCATTACATGCTTGCCCAAAGCTACTCTGTTTACTTACATATACTACTAATTGGAGGCATTTAACACATTTTTGTTTCTGTAATGTATATCTTTGCATTTCAGCCTTTCAGAACTTTGGTGCAAAGTAATTTATGCCATTTTTCACCAAGAGATTTTGATAATGTTTGCTACTGTATATTTTGTGGTCATATGCCATGCTGGCTGGCACATGATATCTCCTTCATTCTTCAGAAGTTTTAATTTTGAATATACACTAGATATTCCTTTACCATTTTATTACCATGATACTTAACTGCCTCTACAAGTTAACATTTTGTCCTTGCAATGAACAAAATTCATGCACAGTTCAACTTATAAGAGCGGAATGCTGTACTGATCTGAATTTACTTTAATTACCTTTTAATTAGCGTTGCCTTTTTTGCAGCCCGTTGACAGAACTAATAACAGGAGATATCCAGGCAATTTTGGTGTTCAGAATGGTGCCTTTTTAGATTACCAGAGTTCTGAACATACTCTTGATCCTGGGAGAACTACCATGCCAGTTCCACCTTGGCAGCAGACTATTGGTCAGCCGTTGCGGGTACAAGCGCCCCAGCCTGCATCAATTCTGAATAGAATGCCACTGCCTACTGATAGTGAAGTGCCAGTCAAGAGGTTGGCCACTGGTGGTACATATGATGCGCTGAATGTAGATATTCCATTGTTGGAGAAGCAAAGGTCCTCACCTGCTCATGCTCCAATGGAATGGCCTCTTAATACACAGTCACTAACTATACAACCAATTCCACCTGATACCAAACATCCTAGAGGCGCATCAGATGGTCTAGATTCTAGACCATTTATTAGCCAAGGGTCCAGTTCGTCTGTTTTTGTTCCACAGCATCATGCCTTGGATCGGAGAACAATGAATGCTGATGATTTAGCTCAACCATCATATCAGCATCCAGATTTGTTGTCATTGAGTCAACAAAATCAGGGCACAGTTTTGGGAAACCAAGGTCAACCTCATCACCCGCCGCAATTTCATCCCCATCCTCATTCTCACCTTCAAGAGACAATTAGAAGCTTTGCCCCCAGTATGTCTGTTGCACCTCCACAAAATATATTCCATGGACAAGGAGGTAGCGCAGCTGCACTCCTGCCAAGTTCTTTCCCTGTACCACCTGCAGTACCACCCTATGGCTTGCAGTCTATGCCTGGATTTCCTTTGCCATCGTTACCTTCAGGACCACCTCCTCCATCGCAGATAGGTCCATCATCATCGCAAGTTGGGGGCCCTCCACTTGTCTCTGGATTGTTAAGTAACCTTATGCAGCATGGTATAATCTCATTGCAACCACCCAGCCAACCTCAGGTACTCATATGTGCACCTCATTGCCAGTCTCTGATATTGTTCTATGGATACGCATGCAGTTGATTCTATGACTTACATTATACCTGTAATCTGTTCTTTTAGGATTCTGTGGGTGTTGACTTCAATGTTGACCTCAAGGTACGGAACGAGTCTGTCATTAATGCTCTGTATCAGGATCTTCCGAGGCAATGCAAAACTTGTGGCCTTCGTTTTAAATGCCAAGAAGAACATCGTGCTCACATGGATTGGCATGTTACGAAAAACAGAAATTCAAAGAATCGTAAGCAAACTTCACGTAAATATTTTGTCACTGTGGGTGAATGGTTAAGAGCAGCAGAAACAGTAGGAAACGATGGTGTTCCTTCTTTTGAGCCTGCCGAACCAGTTGCAGACGCAAAGGAAGAGAAAGAATTGGCTGTTCCTGCTGATGAGGACCAAACAACATGTGCTTTATGTCAAGAGCCATTTGAAGATTTCTACAGTGATGAAACTGAAGAGTGGATGTACAAAGGTGCAGTTTATATGAATGCACCAGATGGAAATATTGGTGGTCTAGAAAGGTCGCAGTTGGGACCTATTGTCCATGCTAAATGTCTATCTGGGCCAAACAATACTTAGGCCGGCCTAGCTGCTGGTGAGTATCCATGCATTACTTGCAACCTCACTATGAAAGTATAGCTAGTATATGTTAATGGCCATATGCTCACATGTGTTCAACTGCTGCTGTGATCATATTATCTGACTAGATTATAATTTTGGATGTGATAGACTTCTTTAACAGTGATCTCACAGGGCATCTTTCTTCATTGGTTGGGGACAGCATTTTACCTCGTTAATATGATTATTCATTCTACTTTTGTATATTCTCTTTTTTTTTTGTCAGTTCTGTGGTACTTAAATTGTTTAGCACTATTCTGTAGTATCTACATGCCATCTATTCACCTCAGGGATCCTTTGGATCATTTAGTACGGAAATGCGTTTTTGTTTGATAGTTTGATCATTTCTCTGTAGATCTGCTAATTACCACAAGTAACAAGATTTCTGATCCTTCAGTGTGTAGGGTGGACAGAACCTTTGGCATGTTTTGGCCACCAAGTAAAATCCATTAACTAATTCAGTCTATGTGTGTGGTTATGATTACTATGATTGTCATTATGACTGCACTTACTGTGGAACTGTCATGTTTGCTGATGATGTGAAGATAACATTTATTGTTCTGCAATGGACTGCTAAAAATAAAACAGTTGTGGTTTTTAAAAATGAAAATTAAATGAAATGAGCTTTTTTCATACAGGTCGAATGAGTGGTCAATTGTTCTACAATTTAGTGTTATCAAGTGTTTCCTGCATGCAAAAGTAAAATTGAAAAATCTGAGTTATTCTAGAACACCTGAATACTCTTTTTTAGTATGATTCATGATTTTCAAAGGAAGATTGGGTTTGAGCATACTCTTCTAGTAGTATTATGAAACAATATTCTTCTTGTATGTTACTAGCACACTAAAATAACATTTTGTCAAACAAATGATTTGTCTTTAACGCTTGGACACCCAAGACGGTCAGTCTCGTAGAATTAGCGGGAGTTGTCCATCAATTCCCGAAACTAGTTGAACCAGCTCGTACCTTTTTCCTACTGGAAATGTATTTTTCTGTTGTCCAGAACCGGAATTATGCGCTCCATTGTGCTTTTCTTGTTAACTGATTTACAGCCAATGTTTTATGTGTGCCAGGTCCTTTTTGTTTAAGATTTGTCATATATGCTAATATTGTGTTTGTAATTGTTCATGCAATATGTAAACCCCAGACAATTACATACTGGGAATTGGGATACTGAGCAGTGTAATTTTGCATTTAATATAAATAGAATGTGATGGCCTCAACTTTGATCACCATTTGGAGCTAACTGTTAGCAGTGTGGATGTTATATGGGAAGTTAATTCCTTCGTCCTATATAGAATGATCGGTCCTTTTGGTTCTTGGGCTACTCTGGGTTGAGGACTTACATAAACTATGAGTACAATTATGCTTATTCACACTATTAAGTATATGTTGTTACACATAATTTGAAGTTTGCCAGCATCTGCTGCTTAAACCCCTAGGAGTGCATCATTCAAACAGACAAATTTTCAATATGTTGCATGAGTTAACTACTTCACAATTTTATTGCAGGTACTCTTGCCTCATTTGTTTCGTGGCTGGGGCTGTAGACAAGACATGTAAACTACTGGAGAGAGCAGATTTTGGTATGCTTAGTATTTAATCCTCAATTGACAACCATGGGTTTGCATAGAATGTTCATGTGATGATAGTGTACAACTGTAAAATGCCTTTTGTAATATAGTGATTGAGCATGAGCATTTTTGCTCGACAGTCACTATGGTGCATGTTCAATCGTTTGGTCCCACCATCTCACATGCAGTGTGCTGCTTTTCCATTATTATAGTATATTTTGAAATCCCCATGTCTACTAGGTGATAGGCAGCCCTAGTTCAGAACGGTGCAATCACTCCACTGAACTTGCGAAACAATATCTTTCTTTCTTGTTTCCCTTCTTTCCTTTTGTGCAGGACAATATCAGTCGGCTACCTGGCTGGTAACTTCCAAAATCGAAAGGACATGTAAGGCGATCAAGGATGGAAGCAAAATCATCAGCTTAATTTCCAGAAAATGAAGGAGATGCTCTCTTCTTGAATTTTTCCCCCTTTTTTCATACTCTTTTGTATGGCATGGCGTTCTGGTATTAACACAACAGTTCATTTTGGTCGCATGTATGACTCATCTTGCTGATATGTTTGCACATGTCAAGTTCAGACTAGATTGTTTTTAAGTATGCTGTTTAAATTGATCTCTGGAACTCTTGTACATTTGTGTTCGAAGCAAGAATATTATTATAAGGGTGGCGATTTCTCACGCGGGGTCAGGTCCCCTGCGGGGCTGGGGCCGGGGCCGGGTGGAGTTTACGCTCCGCGGGGAATCGGGGCCGGGGCCCCGGAATTGGGCGGGTGAGGGGGCGGGGGAGGTATTTCACCCGCGGGTGACCCGCGGGCCCCTGAGGGGGGTATATTAGACTTGTAAATATTGTGCGAACAGTCACACAACCACCACAAAACATCACACGGCCCATTAGGCCCACGAAAACCCTAACCTAATCCCCAGCCACCGCCGCAAGCCTGCGACGCGCACGCGTGACGCGCCGATGCTAGCGCTGTGCGCCCCTCCCCGACGCGCCTCTCCCGATCTCCCCTACCTCTCCATCTCGTTGTCTTCCCAGTCGGCCAGTCCCCTCCGACCTTCGCCTTCCCCTCTCCCAGTCTCCCTCTTCCTCTGGTCTCCATGTAGTCACGGGTGGGCGGAGCGCGGGACGGTACGCAGGGCGGCGCTCGAGCGTCGATTGGTAACCGGCGACCGACGGAGGGGAGGGGCGCACGCGAGCAGATGATTCTCGCATTGAGGAGGTATTTCTCGATCTATTCATGCGAGCGGTCGATTCACAGATGATTTTTTTCTATATATGTTATGTGCTGAATTGATGAAGAGGCAACCCACTGTGGGGCCCTGATCGCGGGGCCCCGCAGGGGCCGGGGCTGGGGGGTGATTTAGCCCCGCAACTCCACTCGGGGCCGGGGACGGGTGGAGAAGTCGGGGGTTGGGGGCGGGGTCGTTCCAGCCCAACCCACCCCTGACCCGCCTCGTTGCCAACCCTATTATATTTCTATAAATCGCCAAAGCATTGTCTGTCTCCCTGCATTCTGTCCTGATGTAACAGGAATTTCAGACACACGGTCATGGACTACTACGTAATTGTATAATTGTAATTGTACTATGTTACCCCAATATTCATGGTGCAACTGTGTTTGAAGAACAGGGGATTCCGCACACGGCCCAACCCTCGCGCGACATCCCACGATTAACACTGTAATTAGCACCATAACTAGTTTTGATTTCTCGGTAATTTGCCGTATCCTATTTTTTTAAAGTAACAGATTGAAAACATATCTACACGTGAAGTCAAAATTTGAAAACTTTCAATCTAGATTTAAAAACTTTTCAACTCAAAATTTTAATTTTTAAAGTCAAAATTTGAAAATTTCAACTTCTCATCTCAAATTTGAAAAACTTTCAATTAGGGTTTTTCAAACTAGAGATTTGGAAACTTTCAACTCGAGATTTTGAAAACTTTCAACTCGGGTTTAAAAACTTTCAACTCAGATTTGAAAACTTTCAACTCGAAATTTGAAAACTTTCAACTCGAGATTTGAAAAATTTTAAATTAAGATTTAAAAATTTTCAAGTCAAGATTTAAAAACTTTTTAAAAAAATTGAAAACACTTGCTGCTGGAAGATTAAAAAGTAATCAGGAAAAAAACGCAAAAAAAGGAAAGCGAAAAAAAACACGGAAAAAAAAGAAAGCAAAAAAAAAAAAGAAAACGGCGGTAGGTTAGCCAAAAAAATCGCGCGCGCGCCGCGTGGGCCGTGTGGGGCATGAGTGCGCGCTGCCAGCGTGCGCGCGTGAATTAGCATTCTTGTGAAGAACAATCTGAGTTTTGTTAAATTTCAAAACAAGAGAACTAGTAATTTGCTCAAACTGCCCAAGTGTTTCGTGCAAATGGTTAGGTTATGTTGTAAAGCCATCCGTTGCAACAATTTCTTTCTCAGCATTCCAGCAGCTTGGCACTGGCAGGAATACTGCCATATGCATTTCCCTAGCGATAGGTTGAAGTGAAAATTCTCAAACCAAAACATTTAAAATATCATGTAAACACACACACACACACACACACACACACACACACACACACACACAAAAGCAGGCACATTTGAGACAAGAATGGTAATGACCAACAAGCAACAACCACAAGTCTACAAATCATCGGAAATGTGATAAAATCCAAAAGGGGGGACATGAATCTCTCTATTCTCAACTCCTAGCTAAGGGACAGGAACCTGAAGTCTGAACAAACAGACAACACATCACAACAGTACAGATAAAAATGAGGCTTCATAGCCCTTTTTAAACATGGTAAAAGAAGCCCTAACATAGAGATTCAGAAAAACAACAAGGTAGCAGCATCCACTCTTCGATGCATTTGATGAAAATCAAAAGGTGGAAGTCAATGCCCGAACCATCCCCCCTTGCATAGTGGTGACACTATGTATCTTCGCGAAAATTTTCTCGCAAACGCGTCGGTTTCCTCGCAAATTCTTCACTAGCAAGGGCACCACATGGCAAGGAGAGTTTGAGGTGCGTTCTTGACTCCCTACTGCTGAATCAAACTCCAAAATTTTGCTGCTCCTGCAAAAAAACACACACACACAAATTCAAAACATTTCAGTAGGTGCTTTGAGATTCGTGCAGCAACGCTTTACTAAACGTAGCAAGCATGTACCTTGGAACATTGTTCGTGATCATATTTGGTTGAAGCCGGTGCTACTACTGAGGGTTGCTGTCCCTGCAGACGGCGGCCTTGATGCGCTCCACCGTGCAGGCGATGAGGCTGTTCACCGTCGCGACGGAGCCCAGCGAGAGCTTCGCCGTCGGCACGGAGTCGACGAGGATCTGGAACGCCACCGTCAGGAGGGACCCCCCGCCGGAGCCGGAGCCGTTCTCCCCGACGGCGGCCTGCGCGTTCCCCGACGGCCCGTCGGGAAGGATGGCGAACCCCGACGGCAGCAGCGCCACGTAGTCCGGGTCGCCGCCGTTGAGCACCACGTTCATCGCCACGATGTCCACCGGCGCGTACACCACGTAGGAGCCCGACGCGTCCGTGCAGCTCTCTTGCAGGATCAGCATGTTGCTCTGGTTTGAATTTGCACTCTACACACATGGACAAATCATACATATATAAACACATCATTACTTAATTTTATAGAAATGATGATACCCGATTTCATCGTGTGTAAACAGTGTAATCATCAGATTCATGAGCAGAAGGTAATAAATAGCATTCGTAGCGGCTGCAATATAGCAGTAGTGATCCTCTACCGATGCCGCTACAAGGTATAGCAGCCTGCTATTGACTTTGTTGAATTGCTATAATGTTTAGATAGTGTTCTTTACATATGGATAGAATAACCTAGCATTGTATGTTTTCTTTATCTTATATATTTATGTTATGAAATGTAGTAGTAGTTAAACATGCAGTCTAAATTTTAAACTTTAAGTGAAACTTGATGTTAATATTGATATACAATCTAAATTTATGGTTATTTTTCTTAATTATGCTATTGGAACTTAGTGCCTGCTATTTGCAATCCGCTACCCAGACACTAATTCGCTACCGACCGTTACATGCTATTTATTGCCTTGATGAGTAGTAACTAATTGGCACTTACATTGACACGAAGAAGCGAGACAGAGTTGCCATGGTCACGGCCGTTGGCAATGTGAGCCATTTCTTGGACGGCGCCGCCGTTGGACAGAATGTCCCACTGCGGAAATCCAAACTCGTCAGGAATGAATTTGATCACGTATAAAATTTGGTCAGCAAATTGGATAAATTCCCTAGGGATGGGGGGCAAATTGGGCACCTCGCTGCGAGAGGTCTCGTCGCGGAGGAAGTCGAAGACGGCGGCGGGAGGGACGGGGAGCCAGAAGGAGGTGGCGGCGTTGAGCACGATGCCCGGTGGCCTGCCGGGGTCGTCGACGCTCTTCCTCGTCATGACGCGCACGTCCTCCGCCCCGCTGCCCGACAGCGTCGTCCACTGGTGCGCCACCGACGCCGTCACGCCGCCGCAGAAGCTCGCCACCATCCTCTCCGCCAGCTTCAACATGCTCTTCCTCCCCTCCACGCTTGTAATCACTGCACCACAACACATAACATTTCATACACAAATTATACTAATCATCAGTAATCATGATTGTAATGTGGCATTTCATTGGTCACAATTATCTGTACTTCTTATAATTGCAATTAGTAGGACGTAGGAGTGGTTAATTGATTGATTGATTCGTCTTGTACCTCCAAGGTCGCCATTGGGGATGTTGCTGGCCATGGCGCTGGCGAGGCGCTCGCATTGCCGGTCCAGCGTGCCGACCCACCGTTTCGCGCCGAATGCGAGGCCGGAGTTCACCAATGGCTTGTAGATGTTGTGCACCGAGCTGTCGTCCACCTCCACATGCTCCACCCATGTCACCTACACACAACAACCCAATACATTTCAAATTAACTTTGCCAACAGAATATGAACGATCAAACCATTTCAACTTTTGCTGACAAAATATGAACAACAACAATATGTACTATCCTTTAATATTGTAGATATATATATATAGAGATTGAATTAATTACCTTGGAGTAGCCATTGGGCATTTCTTGGATGAGGCAGCCAGACGGCCTGCGCCGGCATTTCTGGACAGGGCTGGGGCGGAGGCTGTCGAGAGAGACATCGACGACGGCCCATGTCCCGTCGGAGTTGTTCTTGCAGTACCTGACGAAATAGCTCTCCCTCGTCGGCACCAGCGGCGACGGCACTTGAAACTCCATTGACATCTGCAACCGATAATGTTTAGATCATCATATATCTGGTGGATTAATTCCAGAATATATCCATGGAGCATGGAATTGGAGGCGTGCCATGAACAGATTAATTAAGGAGTTGATCGAGTAGTCGATGAGGATGAAGAAGACGTGTACGTACCACTTGCAGTGCACCATTGTAGTTGCCTGCCACGCCTGTGGACAACACCTCGTGCGTGGACGCTCTCGACACGATGCTCGAGAACACCGTCGCGAATTGATTCTGCAGCAAAATTATTCAAGCGAAATTCAACTGAAATTACTGCATATTTAGGTAGCACTAGCAGTAGTAGGTTTGAGTATTGTGAGACTGACCACATCCATGAGGATCTCGACGAGGTTGCTGTGCGTCATGATGACGACGGCGCCATGGCGGGACGCCTCCGACTTGAGGCCGTACTGCTTGGGGCCGAGGCCGCGCGGGAACATGCGCGCGTACTCCTCCTCATCGAGCAACGCCGCCGCCGGCTCCGACGACGACGACCAGAGCGGCTCGTCGAGCTGGGCCATCTGGACGAGCTCGTCCATGGCGGCGACGGCGAGCTCCACGATCATGGGCTTGTCGGCGTCGAGCGGGTGCACGCCGCGGAGGAGGTCGCCGGCGCCGCCGAACATGTCGAGGCCGGGGGTGACGACGCCGTAGGCGCCGGCGAGGTCGAGAGGGGAGCGGGCGGCGGCGACGGCGAGCGGGGAGGAGAGGACGGGGAAGGAGACGATGGGGGGCTTGCCGACGTGCTTGGCGGCGATGCCGGAGATGCGGTCGATCTCGTCGCGGAGGCGGGCGTTCTCGACGCGGAGGTGGTGCTCGTCGAAGGACATCTCGCCGAGGGCGGCGGGGCCGCCGCAGTTGGGGCACGACGCGCTGCTCAGGGCCTCCTTGTATCGCATGTTCTCCGCGCGCAGCTTGTCGTTCTCCGCCCGCAGCTGCGCGTTCTCGTGCCTCTCGTGCTGGTTCTGAATTAATTCAACACTACATATCGTCAATATACTATTACAACATTAATTTTACTGATATATTTATAGTTTTGTAAGGGTCAATCGATCAATATATGTAGCTGACAGAAAACACAATATTTTTCCATCTGTTCAATAGACAAAAAGATGCATATATATATACACACACACACGTCTGGGCTGGAATATATTTCACTATATCTACCATGTATAACAGGAGTAGAGGCCAGAGGGAGAAGTGAAATAAAATAAATCAGAAATGAAAAAAAGAAGTGAAGAAAGAAATAACATGCTCTCTCCGTTCCAAAATATAAGCATTTTTGAACTTTAACACAATTTTCGAGATGCTCATTTAACCAATAATATCTATAAAGTTAAGATGCTTTAAATAAAAAGAGTTATATATTATGATAATTTATTTAATGATAAATCTAGTAACATCAATTTTACAATGATTGATCTGTTTTATTTTTTTTGACTATTAATAGATAAAGCTGAAAATGTTTGACTTAGCATTATTCTACTAATACTAATATTTTAAGACGAATGGAGTATTTCTTCATAGTAATTAACCATAAACTAAAACTAAATGGTGAGTCCCAATGTTGTTTCATATAGTCTGTTCCATTAAGAGATACAACAAGGTTCAATTCAAACACTAACTGCTGTGGTGGTGCAGGAAACAATCTTGCTGCTGAGCAACATCCGCGTCCTCGGGAAAATTGGTTAATGCAAGCCAGTGCAAATTGTTATGTGAGGTTTAGACACTTGCATTGATTTCAAGTTGAGAAAACTTTTCCTCAGTGTTATCCAAACATTTTAATTCAAGACCCCCCCCCCCCAAAAAAAAAAAACATCGTCCTTTCTTAGTAGTACCGCCTAGTTTCATCCGTGTGTGCACAACCTAATTTGCTTTTTTGGCCAAAAATTGATAGCAGTACTAATTAACTCCGGTCACAAACAATTAAGTGCATTGGAATATGGTTTAGAGAAAACACAACTTTGATGACTATAGTTTGTATTAGAATATATAAATTCTGAAAGATACTATAAGATTTAGTATCATGAAAGATATATGGAGATAGTTATATAAACATTATATACCTTCGTTGTTCAATCTAAATATTCATATAGATACTGTAACTTAAGTATATAAATATTATACATGCTCCAGTAATTAAGTAGAAAACTGCTCATTATTGTACTAGTATGAAGAATGAAAAATCAAATTATTAGCTGATTTAGATTTAGAACTCACCCCTATTTGATTTAGATTATTGTCGCGGAACATCTACTTAATTATAAGGTTTATATTAAATGTTTTAAGAAATAAATAGGCAGTAATTTTTGAGAAATTGTTTTGAGAAAAACATATTTTTTAAAGCATGGAATAAATAATCTATTTGAATAATATTGTGAATGAACTGAAAAGAACATGGATTGCAATAATCCGTTTCTTAGTCTTGGATTTTGTGACTGTGTGTAGCGCTGATGGCATGGTGCAGCTGGTTGACCCTCTTTCTTAATAAATTCGATATTGGGTCCTTCCCCAGTGTCCAACGTGTTTTTTTTTCCTAGTCTTGGATTTTGGAATTTAGTGCACCAAAATTTTATTTTTCAGTAATTCCCAATCATTTTAGTCTGAAGCCATCAAATTAAATAACCAAAGAACACTCTATATATCTATAAGGAGTTTTTATACTTGCCTTCATCTGTGTGCGCTTGTTCTGAAACCAGAATTTAACCTGCAGAGGTTCAAGACCCAGCTCCCTGCTCAGCTCCTTGCGCTGCTTGTCGTCTGGGTGCGGGCACTCCTTGAAGAAACTGATCAAAATTCACAAACATTTACTTAATCTACAAAGATCAACTGATGAATAGGATTCATAACATTTAATCAATCTGACAAAGATTTGCAAGGGAGAAGAAAATTATCTCAGAATTGAAAACATAGGGATGAAATGATAAATTAATCTTACGCTTCCATCTCTTGGATCTGGTGCTGGGTATGGCGGTGGTAACGCTTCTTGCGCGGCCGCTGGTTGGGGTCCTGGTCGTCGCCGGAGAGGCCGTCGCCGGCGCCGTCGACGTTCTCGCTGCACGACTTGCTCTCGAACTCGTCAACCAGCCCGCCGGCGTCGGCGCGGCCGTGCAGCATGTTGTCGCCGCTGTCCGCCGCCGCCGTCGTCGTCACCGGGATCTGATCGAAGTATTGCTGCTGGAGTGCTTGCTGCAGATGATGGCTGTCCAGCATATCAGCCTGCAATTTCAGGAGAGATTAATTAAGAGTATTTTGTGAGAGGAGACCAACTCATCAGATATATGTGTTCCATATATAGCTAGCTCAGGATTAATTTGGAATAATCGAATGAGAAAGCAATTAAGATGTACCAAAGAAAAACTTATACGAAACGCTCATAAAAAAGGGGAAATTTTGCATGCTTCCATTTCTTTTTCTTTCTAAAAGGGATAGGATAGAGTAGTTACTTCGGCCGCAAAGTTGGAAATTGCTGACTTGCTTCTGCTCAGTATAGTGTATTTTCGAGACGTGATTGTCAAAAATGGATATAGCTAGCTATTTTTCTTTTTAGTATGATGCTAAAAATGAACTAATCCTTCCCTTAACCTGTTGTGCCTGTCTGCCTTTAAATTTTTTCTTTTTAAAAAAACATAGATCATTAGAACATTAAGAGATCAAGACCTAGAGAGACCTAAGGGAAGAGACTTTGTTTATGTATTCATGTATGGTTTCTTCAGTTCTTGCTTGACTCATGTTCATGTATGAAGTTGTATGAACAAAAGATCAACTTCTCTTTCTCTGTACTGTGTATGATATCTCCAACCAGTACTTCTGATTTCCAATAAAAGAGCTCATCAATTGGCCAGTAAACTCAGTATCCTCGAATGGCACGCCAATTAATGCATGCACGTATTCACAGCTAGCAACCGTTTCCAAAACAAAATGAAAAACAGATGCACAGCCAATTAAATTATAGTACAAGAGTCAAACGCAACAAGAAAAAAGAAAACGAAAAGCAAATTAATAAAGTAACTAGCTGCAAACAAAAAGTACACCAACTTTTTTTCAAAATTTACTTCAAAAAAAGAAAGCTGCAAATATATATATATATATATATATATATATATATATATATATATATATATATATATATATATATATATATATATATATATATATATATATATATATATACGGTGGGTTCTTGTTCATCTCTGAAGAACTACCGTACCTGGGTGAGGGGCAGCTGCGCCGACGGCGATTCGTACGCCACGCCGTTCCGGCCGATCACCGGCGGCATGCGCCTCGCCGGCGTCATGAACGAAGCCAGGTAATTAAGCACGCACCCTAGCTAGCTAGCCACCACCAACCCCTTCTTCTTCTTCCTCCAGCCAAGCCTCTAGCTCCTCCACCCATTCGCTTGCATCTTCTTCTTCACCACCAGTACAGCTACACACACAGAAATGGCTATAGCTAGCTTGCACGCCACGTAACAGCAACAGTCAGAAGCAGATCTAGGGCAAGGTCAGCACCAAGAACTCTGCAAAGAAAAACAAAAATCCCATCAAAACCTGTGTTAGAGACGACAGCAACAAGATGAGATCTAGCTGTATATATCCGCCTTGATCTCTGCCCTGTTCTACCTGATGTGCTTCCAAGAAGCGTGTGATATCGCATGCGAGAAAACCACCGGTGGACAGCTCGAAACGAAGCGAGATCTCTCCAGCTAGAAGCAGACGCCGATCGCCATGGGAGGAGGAGGAAGAAGAAGAAGAAGAAGAAGAGGGGATTTGGGGGAGGAATGTGGAGATGGGGAGGAGGAGTTATTGCGAGAGGGGGGGCGAGTGTTGAGCGGATGCAATCGCATTTATTGAGAGAGGGTGCAGCGTTATTGCTCAGGCTCACAAAGAGCTAGAGAGAGAGAGAGAGAGAGAGAGAGACAGTAACATTTCAGTAGAAACGTATACTACTACCGAATTCTGTGTAGGTAGAGGTAGAAACGGATACTACTACTACTACTCTATACTGCAAGACAGTCAACTTTGTTTTTCTTTTTTGATTGCAACAGTCAACTTTGTTTATGTGTATATGGTTTGATACGAGTATATGTCAATATGTGTAGTGTTTAATTAGTTTTGCGTTGTTGCACTGGCTTAGCTAGCTTTGTGCTAGCGCTGTTCATGCAGGCATGCATTTGATTTAATATTATTCCAGCACACATATGTGATATCTGTTTTCTTGCTGGGGGCATTTAAGCTCGTAGATGGCAATAAACAGCTAGCTAGCTGTATCTCGCGTTCTGAATGAACAATATGATAATTTGCAGCAGCACACAACACATCGTGTGCATTTGTATATCGAAACTTTAATTTTAACTATATTTGAATTTTGGCTTTTGCCTTATTATCAGATAGTACAACTGAAATTTGAATTTTAAAAGTTAATTTTATGTTGATTTCGAGGGGATTTTTTTGTAGTATTTTATTTTTGTATTAATTAGCCTCAAACCACTAAGAACAAAATTTTTTTTATTGCTTCATTCATTTTTGAAAGGAAAAAGTACAAATTACCCCCTGAACCCGAAAACCAGATATTGCCCACCCTAAACTTTTAATACCGGATGAATTACCCCCCTGACACTGTTTTAAGCAGTTTTGGCTTGAGCTTGCACAAGTAGCGCTAACGTGCAATCCAGTCAGAAAAAAAAACTCCTTGGGCCCACTTGTCATATCTCTCCCCTCTCTCTCTCCCCAGTCCCTCTCTCTCCCTAGCGTCATCTCTCTCTGCCCAGTCCCTCTCTCTCTCTTACTTGGACAGGCGGCTGTGGATGGGCTCGGGCACGCGGCTATGGACGGGCGGTGGGCGGCGACACGTGGGGACGCGCGGTGGACGGCGGCGCACGAGGAGGACGCGACATCGGCGGGTGGTGCCCTCTCGGGATCCGTGTCAACGGTGACGAGACCTATACAGGGGGCGGTGGCAAAGCGCGGGAGGACACGGCGACAGCGGGCGGCGCCCTCTCAAGCTCGTGCCAATGGCGACGAGGCCTGTGCAGGGGCGGTGGCAAAGCGCGAGGAGGACTCTGCGGCGGCGTGCGGCACCGAGGAGGGGATTGGAGGACGAGGGCGGCGGGGGTGGACGCAGCATGGGGTGGCAGGGTGGCGGCGGGCGGTGGCGGAGGCCGCTCGAGGCGTCATGGACAACCTGCAGGCTCATGTCGTCGGAGCCAAGCACAGGGTTGGTGGCGGACTCGCGTGCGGCGGTGCTGGCGCGGTCCTGCGCGTGCGAGGCGGCCTCCTAGTGGCGCCACGCCTCGTTGCGGGCGGTGTGCTCCTGCTCCCTACGCTCCATGGCGTCAAGGAACTAGCGGTGGAGGCTCTCCTGGTGCTCCATGAGCCATTGTACCAGGCACTCGAAGAAGGAGGCCGACACGCTGAGCTACTCCTACCGCCGCCGCTTGCGATTGCGTCGCGCCGCGTCCACCCCCGAAGGTTGTGACTGTGTCTACACCACGGCGTGCGCGTCCTCCTCGGTAGACGTCTCCAACATGTTCGGGCGTGGCGGGCTTGTCCTTGGCCGGCACTATCTGCGCCGTCGTCCGTGCCGTTCGCCCACGCCTAGGCGCCCACCACCCGTCCCTGCGCCAACGTGCACGCCATGCGCGAGAGAGAGAAGAGAGAGAGGAAGAGGGAAGAGGAGTATGACAAGTGGGTCCCGTATTTTTTTATAAATAAAATGCTGACTGGATTACCATACGTATGCCATGTAGAACAAAACCGCTTTGGATTGGGTCGAGGGGGGGTAATTAATCCAGTATTGAAAGTTTAGGGTGAATGTTCTGGTTTTCGGGTATAGGGGGTAATTCGGTCAACCGCGATAGTTCCGCGGGGGGGGGGGGGGGTGGTAATTGTACTTTTTCCCTTTTTGAAACCGCACAGAGCAAACAATATTATATATAACGAGGTTGTAGTTATTTACAGTTTATTTAATTTGTTTTCCACTACGGAGAAAAGCGAGAGCTATAGTACACCATATCGTCCAACGCAACACATTGATGTACACCCATCCATTATTATTATTTCCCGTATTAAATTCCTTGGTAGTATATGTGCATGAGTACTGTTGTGCTGTGGTGAAACAGGCATGCAGCTATATAGCGCCAACTGAATTGATGATGCAGGGAGAGACCCTATTTCATCATCATTGGATGCTCCCAACTCAAAGATCACGTATGACAATCTGTTTTGGTGGGTGACAGTATTTATGAGTCTAAGGGACTTCATCAATAATGAAAAATCCAAAATTTTCACGATACATTTCAACTTTCAATTTCTCCACTTGCGTTTAAGCTGACCTTTTTAATTAGCCTGTATCCTGCTTATACATTTATATTATTTTGTGTAAATATATCTTTATTTGGATCAGTATTGAAAAGCATAAATTAATAATTCAATGTATATATATCCACCATTTTTTGTTTATCTTTTAAGGTCTTTGCCCATTTCAAAAATAACTTTTAACCATCAATTGGTACAAAATATAGCTATAGTTAAGAAAACAGCATTACATTTCTTACATGAAAAATACTTCGTGAACATGATTTTTTTTAACAGTTAATGGTGTATAAAAAAAATCTTTAAAGGAACAAAGCTGTTATTTTGATATTTCAGTGTAATTTACCTGTGGAAGCCTGAAAATAAAACCTAATTAAAGTTTCAAACAACGTTAATCAACACTGAACTTTATAAACTGGAAAAACAATATGTCCCTTAAGACCGGCCAAATATAACCATGTTTGCATGGCACAGCAACTTAACAAACTTGAAAGTAAAATAAATAGGATTAGTGGGACTCGGATATCATGCTCTCTCATCTATTTGTTCTTCCTTCACGTTCTTGCACATATCTTTCTTTCTCTTCCCTCTCCTACAATCTCTAAATATCTCACAAGTCACATTTCCCTTTTTGGAAGAAAGACAAGGGGTGATGACATGTGGACCCTGTTATTTTTTCTTTGTTTAGTAGCATTGAGACTAGGGATGAAAACGGTTTGGAAACGGATGGAAACCACCTTTATCGTTTTCGTTTCCATAATTTTTTCAGAATTGGAAATCTCGGATACGAAAATTAAGTGAATATGAATTGGAGTGAATACGGTAACGGATATTTATCGGAATATAAAAAACCCTTAAACTGAACTTCTCAAATCAACAAAGAGATGTAGCTAAATATTTTTTTTCTAAAACAATAAATAGATACTTATATTTTTTATCAATAATAATAATAATACATCTAGTTGTACACTTTACTTTCTTGGAAAAAAAGAACTATATTCATCTACGACATGGCCTAATAAAATTGGAAAAAAATTATTAGGAAAAAAAAATCTAAAGTACTGGACTAGAAAAATATTTCTATTTAATTAAACATCTCAATACATAGTATAAATTTAAACATTTAGAGTAGAGAAAACAGAAGCTAATCAGTTGTATATGAGAAATGCTTCGCTTCCAATCCCGAGAAAAAAAAATTGAATTCATTTCCGGAAAGTTTCCAACGGATTCCGATTTTCGATGGATAGCTGCCTTATCATATTCGTTTCCGTTTTTGAGAAAAAAGTTTCTAAAAAAATTCCGACCAACACCTTTTGTTTCCGAAACCACTTACGGAATCCAGAAACTTTCCGAGCCGTTTTCATCCCTAATTGAGACTGCCGACATCAGCAAAACCATTCCCATGTCAGCATCACGAACCAAATTGCATTGTACCGAGGCATTTTTGTCTGGTTTAGAAAATTAAGAGTGTTGAATAGCATCTATTTTTTAAAAAATTTTATGGTTGATTTTCAAACTTACACAAAAGTTTAAGGTTGTAAAACGGACCCTTTTCCATGAACAACAGAGGCACAAATTATATTTACTCTACTGTAGTGCTATAATTAATTAGCATGCAGGTCATATGTGAGTATATATATGTGACCTGTACTAGTAGTAATAACTGACAACCGTTACTAGTAATCGCCTCATGTGTTGACTCAACATAATAGAGTGGAGTATACAAACCTCCAGATAACCTGCATTGAATTTGGTCATTACTACATGTCAACTTCTGATACTACATGCAAGTTCTTTGGCTCTTTGCTGGTTTCTCTCTTTTTTGACTTTCTCAAGAGAGAAGTAATCTGAACTTTGAAGTTTGAAGTAGTCTAATGGTAGCACGACTATACTAGCTAGATTCATGTTAGAATTAAATAATTACTGTTGCTCGGAATATGAAAGTATAGCAGGTCAATTCATACAGTTGTATATGATCTTAGTTGGGACTTGGGACTTGGGAGTAGTAGTAGTACTGTTTACTGGACTGTCCCCTAATAATAAATGAATTCGACGAGATGATTTATACGGCATGTCTGCTACAAGACGGGATCTCATTGCAACGGGATGGACATATTAACTACTTACTCTGTTTCACAATATAAGTTATTTTAGCATTTCCCACATTTATATTGATATCAATGAATCTAGATAGATGTATATGTCTAGATTCATTAGCATCAATATGAATGTGGGAAATGCTAGAATGAGTTACATTGTGAAACGGAGGGAGTATTTTCTTGCACGAGTATCACAGGTATCAAGTTCTAGGTATCACAGGTACCGGGTAACATGTATCACAGGTATCGGGTACGATGCAGCTGGTACCACAACAGGTATTAGATATCAGGTATCGCAGTGGCGTAGCTAGGATTTAAAGTAAAAGTGGTCCATCTATATATAATATGTCAATTAAAAGGGTGGTCCACTATACAATTTTTATTATATTAACTAGCATATATAATATAATTTTAATTTTTTAGGTGGTCCGTAG